TCTAAACTGAAGGTACAATAGAAAGTTCCACTTTATTATAGGACCAGAGTTTATCCATTGACTTCAGCACCCTTAAGAGTGTAAAGCACATGAGTTCTTTTCTTGTCTAAACTATTTTGAATGAGGTCTCTTTTACATGCTAGTTTGGCAAGCTTCTAAGGCATTTGTGCAAAGTGATGATCCAAGAGCAACCTGATTCAATACTGAGAAATTCATAAATAACATCCAGCAGTAATTAAAGTGAAAAACTACAGCTTAAGAAAAGCAATCTCCTACAGCATCAGTTGAGCTGCTATACCTTGCAATGTTAGAAGTGGTACCTTTAACTCGGAGGCATCATTGTGAATTTTAAACACACCAAGGATTCATTCTGGTTTCTTTACATAGATTGCATTGGAATAATGATGACTGAAAAACCATGAATGTATGATAGCTGTAGAGAGAGAAAGGGTAAGAGTGGAAGAAAAACACAGCACCAGAAAGTACCATCTGGAAACATACTAAACATTTAGTCAGTATATTTGTATTAAAATGATGAGTTAATTTTGAAGACCAGAAAGGTTTGAAGATAACTTAGTGTACTCTATGAGGCCATTCTCAAGAGTCAAGTGTATAATCATCTGAGACAGGGATATTTAGAACTTCAGACTAAAGAGCCAGCTGATGTCTTTACCATCTTGATGAGAGTGCACTCTCATCACTCTTTCCAGTAAGTACATGCTAAAGTCACAAAAAACCCCTATAAATTTTCTGGATTTTTTATTAGATTAGGGTTAACTGGCAGATAACAGAACTTATTTGTTCAGTTTTTATGTGTGCAAATATCAGCAAAGTAGTAGAATTTAGGCAGCTGGTAGTATAGCAAATAATTGGTAGGTGTTAAAAATAGCATTTGGAGGCTTTTCTACTTGTTTCTCAAGCTCTCTTCTGAACCACCAGCACAGCCTGGATTTACTGGGAAGAATACCTCGCCCTACAATGGGAAAGCTGAAATATTTTCCTGTTAGGGTACAGCTACAGCCATTGTGCTGTAGCACACAATCCATGCCTTTCTGGTCTTCAAACAAGAGGTGAGAGTAGCTGTGGATACTAGTTCATGCTTCAGGCAGAAAAAGTAGCTGGCCCAAAACAACTTGAGAGTTAACATGCAAGATCTGGAAAGTAGCCACTGTATGATATTTGGGCTTCAACCTGTGCTTATGGAAATTTCTGTGATTATGGTATTGATAGCAGCCAGATGTTGGGGGAATTCAGATTTTATACCTTGGCAGGACAGAATAATTCAACTGTGTTTTAGATTATTGGATAAAGAAGCCAGGAGTAAGTTGTGAAATTTAGTTCTTGAACTGGGATTGGATAAAAATGCTCCAGTTTAGATGTGCTTGTGGTTTGGACCAACATCTTGCAGTCACTTTTTGTCTTTTTGTGACTCTAGTTTTAGGTGCTAAACTGTAAACATCACAATGTCTTCTTACTTAGGAAGTTTGCTCTATGCCTCAGCACTAGGTACAGGATCTTTAGCAGGACTTCATGTGAGGAACAGTTAAACAAAAACTTGTATGAATAAGGCACTAGTAAATGTTTGCAGCAAACAACAATTACAGTCTATATTCTTTAAGAATAAAACCGTTCTGTTTAGGAAATTGCCTTTAATATTACAGAGTTACCATTGCCAGTTAGAAGGGCCTAGAGAAAGTGCATCTTTTGGGTTATGCCTGTGAGGTCTGTAAGAAACCCCTGAATGCAAATCCCTGTTACATTAGGAAACAGCCTGTGCAGTGGTGATACTCAGGAGATTGGAAGCAAGAGGCAACTGGTTTAGATTGTGATCCCTGCTAAACTAGTGTGAAATCACTGTAATGGATCTGCTTCTGATTTATTACAGTGGTAGAAGGATCTGAAGCCAAAACTGAGGCTGCTTTAGCAAATCTAGTTAAACAGTAACAGCACTGGCCCAAGCCAAAGAATTGGCAATAATCCCCTTATATGGTTTCAAAAAATAATCTGGTATTTTAAATTTCCTATTTGCTGAAGTTCAGGGATGCACTTTGTCTTTTGGCTAATGTAATAGGTCAAGGCCTTATGTACTACTTTGGAGCTGATGCCATTCTAAACAGTTATTATAGTATTGATCCACACTTTATACCAAATGGAATTTGAGTCTGCCATTCCATTTATAGGATGGCTGGCCAGTATCTTGAGTTGAAAGTTGTTCAAAACCACCCCAATTCTTCCATTCATAAAACCAAAATATACTACCACTTTTAAAAAATACTTTTATGTATCTGCTATTTGAGGGGGTCATTGAAGCACCAAGAATCTGTTTATCTAGCCAATAAGAAAATATTTGCAAACCAGCAGACCTTGTTAATATTCATGATCTGCATTTTCCTAGGATCTGTCCAGTAAAACTATTTTACCACTCATTTGTTATACCAAATAAATCAATGGTCAGTCTGATTTCATCAATAAACCCTGCTTGGTAAGCAACTTAGCTTTGTCATCTGACAAATTTGTGTTCCACTCAGATCCTCCATTTTTTTATACAAGATGTCATTTAAAAAACTTAATACATTTGCAGTATCCATAATGCAAGAGGGGAAAAAACCCCCTTACATTGATTGATTACTGTATATTATTGCCATTAGGTGCTACATATAACAACTCCAGGCAGTGGGCTTTTTTTGTTTGCATGAATTATTTTGTGTTTTATGTAAGGTCATGGTATTAAGTTTATCTCAAACTTTAAGGTCACCTATCCATAGGGACCTCAGAAACTGTACAACTATCTCAACCAGCTTTTAAAAATGTGGTGGGCTTTTTGTTTGTTCATTTTGTGGGTTTTTGAGTCACAAGACTAAAGTTGTTGGTGGTACAACTCAGCTGAAATTTTCATCAGTAATTAATCTGGACTAATACTCATTTCTTAAACAAAACAAACATTCCCCAACAAGTAAGTTAAGTTCTGGGAATCTCTCTCCCATATACGCTATACATACTCTAAATTAAATACAGAAGGAAGAAAATCCAGAAATTTCTACTCACAAAGATCTTTCCTCATAGCAACACAGGAAACCATTTTATTTTAAAAAACCTTTTTCTTATCAGTATGTCAGATTATATGCTTTTCTATGCGTGTGAGAGACTAATACATGCCATGTGTTCATCTGAATATCAGAAAATGTTACTGACTATTGGAGTTGTGCAAAATATTTTCTGTAAAAGCTGACAATCTTAAAAGTTTTTTTGATTTGTCATTTTCAGTAAGATGATGTAAATCTTTGCAATTGCAAAATAAACAAAAAAATCTTTGTCAAAAGTGTGCCTTTTGGGGTCATAATTAGTCTTGTGGGGTATCTCTAGCTGACAATTTGAAGTTGTGCATATGTTAATTTATTAGAATTTCCTAAGCTGTGCTCAATGTGAAATAAATTTGAATTTTTTCACCTTATAAGTGTAAGCTATGTTTTGAAAGTCAAGGTGCATTTTTAACTTCATTGTAAGATTTATACATTGGAATGTGGTTGGGTTTCTTTCTCTTTTTGCCCTCTGCTTTTGAAGTGTGCCTTCAGGAGATGAGAAGAAAAGTCATCATTTCACAGAAAATTCACAGAAAACGTTCTGCGAATATTTAACAAAACACAGAATGCAGTTTGCTTTCATGGCTGGGTTTCTTCAATGGAAGCAGAGGCATAGTAGTGAAATATTTTTATTATGAAACTCTGCTATTACATCTCTGACTGGAGAAAAATCTGTCATCAAACATTTGTGTGCACTTCTTCAAAGAGCAAATTCACACTTTTATAGAACAGTTGCTTTTTGGTGCAACTGCGTTGTGATTGTAGAGGCACACTTTTGACACCAACAAAAACAGTGGTCTAAATGAAGGCAACACTTTCAGTCCATGCAGATGTATTTAACTATATGGATGATGTTTTAACAAAAAAATGTCACTTCACAATTTTTATTTCTTTTTAAAGTAGAAGTTAGGAAAGCAAATTCTTCAGGTGTAAAAATCAACAACATTACTGTATGATCATTTAACAACAATTATTGCATGATTTTGCATAACCCTTGGCCTTTCTAAAAAGCAGTATTTGATTTTGAGATGTGCATTGGTTTAATAATGAGTCATCACATATCTGCTGACTCACACGTGACAAATATTTAACTTGGGGAAGAAATTTTCTTCAGATTACAAAAACATAAAAAAAAAATCAGTTCTAGGTTTTAGCTATTAACCCAGAGATTTTCACTGTTAGATGAAATGCATGTAATTGGAAATAACTATTCTGTTGAAAGGAATCCACAGTACTTTGATAAAAAATCTGAGAGGCTTTACGGAATATGACAAACTTGATGAGGCCAACCCCAACCCCTCAAAAATTTCTCATACTGTTAGGAGACAAAAGAATTACCAGTCCTGTAACTCCAATGTATTTTAAGGCTAGTTAGAAGACATGGAATAGTGATACTCAAAGTAAACGCTCAAAACCAGTAAGTATTTTTATGACAGGGTAGTTATTCAAAGGGAATTATTTATATGGGTGAAACTTTGCTAATTCCTTTACATTTTCTATTACAGTAAACCTACCATCTATCTCTATGTCGATAATAACTGATCTTAGAATGCCATTTCATAGCTCAAATCTTCATTTTGCCTCAAGGTTTGCTCTAGCCAGGTTGGCAATTGGGGAAAGTCCTAAAACAGAAACATTGACACATGCTGATAAATTTAAATGTGGAACATTAAAATTTACATGGAAGTGGAAATGACATTCAGTGTCAGAAGTAACAAATTTGAGTCTTAAATAATCCATATAGAGAATATAGGTTAGACAGATTTAATATAAGTGTGCTTTTTCCTAAAAACACCCCCCCCAAACCAAACTTCTTTTTTTTTTTTTTCTTTTTCTTTAAGTCTTTTGTCTGTAAATATGAAAGAAGGCTACACCCCAACATAATTCTTCATTGCCATACTAAATGGTAAAATAGTCTTTCTAATTCACATTGCTCATGGAAGTCTTATTTGAAGTTCCTTTATTGAGTTTGTGGTTAAAGCAGTTTGGGATTTTTGTTGGTTGTAAACTTTTGGCATAATGTGAATACCAGTCCCTTTCAAAAACAGCCTTGAGTTGCTTAATGATGCTTGTGCTGTTCCCCGCGTCTGCTTGGTTGATAACAAGGCCAGCTCCAGCATTCTGCGTAAAAGCATTTCCTACCCAATCAAAATTACCTGCAAGCAAAGGCAGGAATAGACAGTGAGTTTCTAACATTAAAAAAAGAACCAAATAAAAAACCAATCTCCTTCAAGACAATCCAGGATGAAGCACTACCATTTTCCCCAGTTCAGAGATGGAAATAAGTTAGTTTTTTTTTTAATAGCAGCAGGAAAAAAAGCTCCAATACATACCATGCGTAGTGAAGATTGTTTCTGGAAGTTTTAACAGCTCTAAGTCTTCAGAAGTGAAAAGAGATTCTTCTATTTATTCAAAACTAATTTGCTCTTCTTTTTACATCTATTACGTTATTACTCCATTTACTTTCCTCACTGGCCTTTTCAGTGCTAAAAATGATTTTTTTTTCTGTATAAACAATTCAAAGTTCCAAAACAGTAGATATTTTACAACTTACCTGTTAACAGATACTATTTGAGGAAAGAAAAATAGGTTTTACTGGTTTATGCCAGTTATTACAATCTTTGTGGAAATCTAAGGTAACAAGTAAGCACTTTGAATCCTGGGGATATCAGGGCAAAAAGGTTAATTGGACTAATGGAAAACAGGTAAATCAAGTGCTTCAGCTACTTTTTTTTTATTCCACTAAAACTGTAAGTATTTCAAATTATACACTTAAAACACATGCAGTATTTTGGACAAACAGGGCTGTTACTTCACCAGGAAATGTTAAGAATTCTAAAGTTATCAAGGATGGTAAATTGGAACCTCATCACAATGGACAATTTTTCCTATGCTAAAAGTAAAAAAAAAAAAACAAAAAAAAAAAACCAACTTTTATGGGGTGCCACACAGCAATTTTAGTTAAATACACTTTTAACCCAAAATACCAGTTAGATATGTACTTAGTGTTAGGAAGGTGTCTGAAATGCCATTGTAATAAATGGAGTAAGGCTTTGGATGATGAGGATGAAGAGCATCTGTGCAGTGTTTGCCAGGATTGACCATAGCTCTAGTAATAACATGGGGAAAGGAGAACACTCCTTCTTCATTGGATTGCAGAACAAGAGAATATGCTAATAATTATACCTGCTTCATAAATTGTGTTGTATTTGTGCTTTCAGTCTGTTTTAGGATACTGAATGCAGAATGCTGGTCTCGAGAAACTGATTCAGAGGGGAAAAAAGAGTTTTAGATGAGAAAGTTCAGTCATCATCCAGGTTCCCAAAGAAAAGAACTATTATCTTCACTTAAAGAACATATCAGCTGCAGATTGCTCCTCTACAAAAGGTTGTGGATACAAACTAGAATTTCTTGAGATGTGGTTACTTACCAATATACGCAGCTCCATCAGTCACCATGTATTTGTTACGATTCAGTTTGGGAAGGGAAGTGTTCTTCTGTTCTTTAAGAAAGCAGGCACTCTCTTCCTCAAGGTCAAAGAATTTCTGCCATAAAATAGAAGGAAACACGTTAATGAGGATTGCTCTACAAGAGAGAGAAAAAATACAGTCTGTTCTCTAATCTTTATTGAAAATTAGTTGGTGCTACAGAACAGCTTGAGTTTTTATTGCCAAGCATTACCTTTAATAAAATGCTGCACCATTGTATTTCTAATTAAATTGTCATAGTTTGTGATAATCCTGCCTTGGCATTCTGAACTATATAAAGTGTATGGCTACTGCATGCTAAAAGCAATACAGTGCCAGGTAGTAAAGGCTGTAAAATGAAAAAAAAAAAAAAAAATTCTGTTCTCCATGGTAAGAGCCAGTAACTTTTTTTAAACTAATTTCCTCATTTTTCAAGGGACACTGGGGTTTGAAGTCTGCTTCAGGATTGGGATCAGCGACACAACAACAGCTGAATTAATACCTCTGCAATCACACATTGCATAATTTCCAACAGGAAACTTACGATTTCAGAAATGTAGAAGCTTGTCAGGATTGAATTTGGTATAAAGAGATCAAATTTTCCAGGCAAAAAGAGGAAAATGTTTTACCCTGGAGAGTGAAGTATGAGCAAGATTTATTTATTTGTTTGTTTGTTGGTTTCTCTATTTATAAATTTAGAGCTATATGCACTCCTCATCTGATCAGTAACAGACAAAAATGAGCAAGAATACACCTGCACAACTCAAAAATAGATTCACATGGATGCTCAAGAATAACTTGGCTGTAGATAGATGTTCCTTGGCACTCCTTTGTGTTTTCCAGTTGTCTAGAGACAATTTTGTTCTAGGTCATAACTTCTTCAGGCCCTTTCAAAGCACACACCTTCCTCTGTTTAGCACTGCACCCAACAGAGCTGGCCCCTTCCTGCTGCTCCTTTCAGAGTTAGAGCAGGCATTCGCACACTCAGGATGCATTTACAGGGTCAAGTACACAAAATTTAAGGAATACAGGAATTAAGGTCCCAAGAAGCACAGTGGTGAGCTCTTCACCTTGAGTCTGCCCTTTCTGATTCAAACTTTAACTTCATGACCACATCTGCATAGGACAGAGCTCCCTGCTTCAGCAGCAGTTTGAGATGCAGGTTACTCCTTGCCCTATGGCTGTGAGCTTATAGCATTTAGTTAGTCCTCAAACAAAGCTTTCTAGGTGCAAGTTCTTCCAGTGATCATTTTCTTCAGAGTACTTGTATTGAGCTTGCATTCTCAAAACAGTTTCAGTTGAAACCAGTAATCATTAATGCTTCTGTGAATGAGACTCGGAGATGCTGCAAATGCCAGGTGTAACAGGGTTGCAATGCCCTAACTCTATACTTGCAGTTAGGCAACACCAGAATTTGCAATAGCCTGGTCAGGAGAAACCAGGAGGAGATTCCCATCCAACAGAGAAATTACATCTGCATCTCCTTCTCCAGGATGGCCATTGGCAAATCAGTGCACCCTGCAGCTGCAGCCAGCCATTGGCACTCACTGCAAACTTTCAAGCCAAACTGGTCTTTCCATAGGGATAAGGAAAAAAAAAAGAAAACAATCAAGACAATGCATATCACAAGGATCGAAAGCTGAATGAAAAATAAGAAGTTACTGAGTATGCTTTGTAGGATCCCCAAAAGAACAGGACAACACAGGGATAGGAGGTCATGTGGTGCAGGTGTGTGTGGCATTTTGCAAGAGGGAAAAGCAGTGTTTTCAATAGTTCAAAAGGTAACTTAGTTTTTTACTTTTTTTAACCTATTCTTTCTCCTCCATACACACACATCGTTTTGTTTCACTTTGATCCTGGCTGTAATGGATGAATACAGAAGAAATGCATCTTTAAAAAGCAGTTGCTCATCTGACATACTTTTTAAATTAAAAGAGAACTGAGATGGAGCCTATGGCACTGTTGTCAGCCAAAATCAAGTTGATAACAGCAAACTCTGACCCTTGGGCTATTATTCATACCAAAGTTTATTTAAGGCAGTGGTTCACCCAGACTGGGAAATGTGATGCACAGCACAGAGCTAACTGACTTAGTGTTGTACCTTTACAACTCTCTACAGCTGATTTTTTTCCTGACAGTTGTTTTTGTATTTTCTAACTGCAGAGACTCTACCTGGACTATTTACCAGGACTCTACCTGGACTATTTAGAAGAGATGTTTAGGAGCAAGTTTTATTCCTTTTATCATTTAGTTCTTGACAAGATAAAATCTGTACAAAAGATTTTTCCTGCTGTAAATAGATGCTAATGGATATTAGGTACCACTTTGCAAAAAAATTTTGAATATGTAAATAGAATTTTGATGATAAACATGGAAAAAGCTAGAAGTTATTTAAAATTGAAGTGGCTTAAAAAGAGTCAGCTATGTATGGGGGTTTTTGACTTAAAACCACACTTTATGCTACTTTTTTACTGAGGAAACTTATAATAACAACATACATGATAGCAAAAATCCCTATTTCTAGATATACATAATACCACTTATTGTGTGTATAAGAAATAGTACTTCCTTTTTAGAATTGTTGTCAATTTTCAAACCACCAGAAGAATTTACGGGATTATCAAGTTAGGAAATCAAAATAATTCAGCAGATTATTTAGAACTTTTACCTGAAAAAAACCAAAACAAAGCCAAATAAACCCACAACCCCTCCCCCTCAAAGATCCAAGGTGGCTGATTTCCAGTGTGCTTCATTTCATAAAAGTGAAGTGTGTCACACTGGAAATAGCACTTACCATACATTCTGTTCTCTAATACAGTTGTACGGTATTTCTCACTTTCCTGTACTGCATGTCTAATGTGGCCCCAGAGTGGTGTTTCTGTCTCCACAATTTTGAGTTTTTAGTCTGAATTTAATGTAAAATCTTCATTATTTTTTCTTGTACTTTTCACTTGACTGAAGATAAAGGAGATGCTTACACATCTTAACAGTAAGGTTATGTGAATGCAGACTAAATCATATTTTTGTCAGGTTGACTCTTATCTCACAGTATAAATATGACCAGTGGCTACAGTTCGCTCTGTTGGCTCCACTGTGAGACCACGAGGTGTTTTGCACGGGCTGTCCACCACACTGACTGGTTTTTGGCACCAAGGTATTTTTCTGTCTTAATTTCAAATTCTGTTAGTACTAGGACTAAATTATTTGTTCAATATTTTACATTTATTGATACTTAATTGAATTTAAAGACTTTGATAAAAACAGAAAAAATTCTCAGTTGTTATATTTTCTTGATTCTTTTTTTGGGGGGGTTGGGGAATAAATTATATTTTAAAGTAATATGAATTATACTTACAACTTTCAAACTACAGCTTGGAACTTCAGTGCAAATAGCTTTCAGAGATGAAACAAAGTTGAAAGTAAGGGGATCTGTGTCTCTTGAGAAACTTATGAGAAGTCGCACTTTAATACTTCGTAAAACTAATGCTTCTCTTATCTTCCCATCTAAATACGGCCAGTACCTGTGGAGAAAGAAGACAACATTTGCAGAGAACTTTTAAAGCTTTAAAACATTAGGGAGAGCCGCTCCCGTGCCGGAGAGCCGCTGCCAGAGGGCGCTGCTGGCCAGCCCAGACACGGCCACAGAGCATTTCCCTGCTGGCACAGGTCATGGAACTGGAACACCGCATCCCTGGCTGGCATCCCTTGTTCAGCCCCTGAGCACCGGGCCAGGGCAGGCTGGGGGACCGGAATTTCTCCTTGGGAAACAGAGCTGCTGTGCAGGGTGCCTGTGTCCTTCAGGAGCAGCAGGTGAGATGGGCCGCTTAAGGAGGATGCTATGTGATGAGGAGTGCAGAAATTCTGCCAGGAATGGGATGGTGGCTTCCACGGTGCTATTCTCACAATTGACAGTAAGCTTTGTATTCCTGTCTTTTGGTGGGAGCAGGTCAGGGCAGGGAGAATTAAACAAAGAAAAATGCATGTTTTCTACATTCCAGCAGTATCAAAACATCTGGGCTAATGAAACCTGAGCTCTACCATGCCAGAAAATAACTTAGAAGCACGAACTGGGAGTTGGCAAGGTAGAGATGCAGGGGCAGTGCCTCAAACACAAAGCCACGATGAAGGAAAAACGTTGAAGAATTCACACAGGTGCTTCCCTGCATGTCCCTAACCCAGTAGATTTCTGAATTCTTCCACCATGAGAATAAAGTAAGAAGGAGTATGGGAGATAACATACAACACTGTAATGGTTCTACATACTAAGATGCTTTCCAAGATAAAGGAGAAGTAGGAGGGATACATAACATGAGACTGTGGTTCCTGCAGCACTGCCCATGATTCTTTCCCTGTGATGGAGGCTGTACATAATGAGTTTATTGGAAAAACTCTCTCATAGTCTTAAAACAGTTTATGCTTGGTATCAGTTACATAATAATTATTTTTTGAAAATTTTGAACAGAACAGCTCTAAATAGAAAAGAGTACATAACCACATGCTTGGTTTGGCTTAACTGTGTTCAAATAAAATGCAAAGATGGAACAGCAGGCTTTGCTAGGTTCTATATTCATTGTGAGCATTATCAAGAGTAGGAGGGACCAGTGGATACTTGCCTCCTGAGCTGGATGGTTTTGATGCACTCTGGCTCCAGTGTTGGGCCCATGAATGCTTTTTAATGGTCCATACAAACTGGCTGTTCGAACATTATGTAGTTTTGTTTGGTTTTAGCACCTCTCAGTTAACCAAACTGTGAAATCATTCAAATGTAATCTATTCTGAACTGGGAATTTTCATTTATATGTGTATGCCAGTAAGATAATGACATTTCCCACACTGTATACAAGTATACACGTTATTTCTCTCTTAACACACACACACACACACACACACACACACACACACTCTGTCATGTTGAATATCTGCATGATACTCATAATATCCAGTAGTTGTGGGCTCAGAATAGTCAATATAATAGTGCAAGAAATAGGATTATTGTATAAGCAGACTTATATTCCTGGGTCCCAGTCTCATGCAGATGGTCAGACTAGACAATTTCTGATCTCCTTCAACAGGCAGATCCAAAGCTTAGGACCCAGAACTGGAAAAGTCCTCTTAGGTCCCAATTCTGCTCCCATTTAAGTCAATGGTAGGACTCTCACTGATTTCAATAAGAGCAGAATTGGGCCCCAAGAAACTGGTGCACAGTAGTAACTAACCTCCTGTGGGTTCATTTTCTCCAGCAGACCCTGCTGGCATTGTGGGAACCAGCTGGACCTGGACACTCACCGTTTAGCATTGGTGTCGATGACAATGGGCAAGTAGTCCATGACAGCAATGTACACAAACTGTTTGGCATCGTCAATAACACTGTAGATAGCTTCGATATCCAGGACTCTGTCCTTGGGGCAGAAGAGTTTAGGTGAGTTCTGTGAAAGGAAAAGTTCAAATATGGCATTAAAAACTATTTATTTTCTCTCCCCCTCAGTCTTGAGATGAGAAGTAGCATCCATTATTTTAGCAGAGATTATTAACTAATACCTTCATCTGTCCTGCTCCTGCTAGAATACTCAAAGCTACAAAGGGAAGCTACTTGCTTACTTGGCCCTCAAAAGCCTCACCATTTAGGTGTAACTGTCGGTAAAATGCAAAAGACACAGACTTCAAAACATCCACTAGCATGAAAGAAGCTGTAATTGAAGTCAAATTTCAGAGAATTTTGTTCCAAAGAGCCCCAGAACTGGTTTCTATTAGATGGAGTGTTCATATGTTCTTGCCACATGAGCATGATCCTTCACTTGTGAGCAGGAATTAAGTGTTTTATGTCAGTTGCAGGGAGACACTGCAGTTTTGCAAGAAACTTATCTTTAAAACAAAGCTTCAGGTATGAATTTCCCAGTACAGAGCTGGTACAAGCCCAGGTTGCAGCTTTTCTGCAATCCTCTGGGGCTGTCAAAGGCAAGGTGAAGCCAGTGGAAATTGCTCATCTGTGGCAGATGTGCCCAGGACTTTTCATTCTGCTGCACAAGTAGGGAGAGAAAAGAGAGTCCCCCTTTCAAGCTGCTTGCAGGCAATGACTTCATTCCTGGGACAGAGGTTGTGGAAGGCACTTTAACCCAGCTGGAACATGTATTTTCCTGCCACTGTATCACCTTCTCACCTTTGTTACTTGCTTGGGTTGCAGCTGACATCCAGATGGGCATCTTTCCTTTAGGGAAAGATCCCAGAGGTTTTATTAGTCTTCCTTAATTTCAGTACACTGACTGTCACAGTGTTTTCTTATTACTGACTGGTGTTCTTAAGGATTTACTAGAACTAAGTACAGAAAATACTAGAAAATTAACTGTAGCAAGATTTCAAGACCAATATTCCACATCCATTCCTGAACACTAAAAAACCAAAACCTTTTACACTTTTTCAGCCAGCCTGGAAGATGAGTTTGTTGCTAAGCAACACTAAGCTATGATTCCCAAGTATAACAAAAAAATTCAATGACTGCGTATTATGCTTGTTTTATATAGCACAAACATTGAAATAAGTTTTCAAAAAATTAATTTTAACTCAAGAAAAAACTGTAAAATGATTTAAATATACTTAAAATATTAAATACAATTTATTTCAATTATCTGACACTTTTTGGAGGTAATTGCTCCAATATGTTATTCTTAACACTTTTTATTATTTTCTTGAACTTTTAAGTTACAGAACAGCTGAAGAAAGAAATTGTCATGCATTTGTTTTCTTCAGATGCATTCAATACAAATATCTGAAAGTGAAAGACTTCCTGAAGATAATTAGGAGAAAAGCCTCAGCAAAAACCCTCACTGTAGCACTGTGCTTTGGCATTCCACTTGTTACTCCGTGGCACAGCTGATCCCTGCCCCACAGCCATAGACTGGCTTAGGACTCGTCTCCATGTTGTGCAGCACTTGCCGTTCTGATCAAGCACCCACCTGTTCCTCCTCCTCTTCACCTGTGAGGAACAGGCCTTTATTCCGGCTGGGAACAGCACCTTTCCATGCCCCTGCTGGGGGGTGTGCTATCCCGAACCCACAGGGAGGCAGCAGCCTGTCTCTGCCCCAGGCAGGATTGCCACGGCAGCAAGGGAACTGCCTGGCTCTTGGGAAGCTCCTTCTGATCATTAGCTCAGGAACACACAACAGCATTAACATTTGGTCCACTAAGTCAGCCTCAAGCAACTCCAGGACTGCACTGAAGAGGGGCAAGTCCCAAGTGGCTGTGGATACAAATTTAGGTAGCTCTTGGAGTTGGACTTCAGTGATCTGAGCTCCTGAGTACCACTGAGCCCTTCCTTTTATTTTCTGAAGTGAAATACCAAGCGTACAGGAAAGGAAAAAATCACAGAGAAAGGGAACACTCTGCAAACTGAAAAAAAAGGTAGAGTCTCTCTCCATTTGCCTTTGCCTAGGATCCCAGATTCCTTAATCTGGGCCTTAACAAGCTTTCAATTCTGTGTTCCCCTCCAGGATCGACTTTCAGCAGGATTTCTCAATTTCTTACAGATTTCTTAGAAAGGAGTAGGTTTGCATTTCACAGTGCATTAGCAAACTGTCCAAAACTGTCTCTCATTTAAGCTAGTCCTTAAGATTCTCCAGAATCAATGGAAGTGTCTATTTTTTCAAACCACTATTTATTCTGGCTGTCCTAGGCACTTCCACATTTTCACTCCAAAATAGTTTTCTGTCTGTCCCCTGATTGCAGGAGTAGGAAAAATCCTGGACAGCAGAACATTGCCTGGTGCCCAGCAGGTGAAGGGGAACCCTGCCCTGTACAACCATTCATCTGCACTGTCTGGTGCCAGTGGCTGTACAACTTAAAAGTGGATATAAAGCAATGGCAGTTTTGCCCTTGTTTTATAGAGAATGGAAAATTACTCTCAGCAACTTCATCCATATTCCTGATTTTGAAGGGGCAGTTTACACTCACGTAATTACCCCTAAAATGAATGACACTCCACATCTTCCATCATCTCTATCTCACTGGGTACTTTTTTCCAGTTTTGCTACATCACTGATGAGATGGAGGATTCCGTTTCTCTCCATTAAAAATATATGCACAGACAGTGCTTCCATGGGGATCACTGCTTGGATTTTAGAAGTTTTAAAATGTCATTTAAAAATAAAAATGAAGTAGATGATCTTGTACAGAAGTACAAATGCTTTGCAATAGGTGATTTCTTATAAATTACATTGATTAAAATGCAAACTCTGCTTATTCTGTATTATTTTCTATGTCTGATTAATTGTTCAGTTACTCCCAAGTCATTCACATTCTATCTATTAGTATAAATAAAATTATTTAAATTGAAGGGTCTCTGTATTGTTTTGTGAACATGACTGGAAAGGTGTTGAACATTGCAAAGAAAGGGAATTTCAAATGAAATCCTGCAGCATCTAAAGTCCTGACAAACTGCATATCATAGAAACCAGAATTAAACAAAAAATAAAAATTGTGATTTTTCAAATTTCCAGGTCTTTCAAAGATCTTGTGGGTTAAGTACACTTCCCCCACCGCCCCCTGGAACTCATTTCAGAACTTACCGACACAAAAGCTTCTGATTTTGTCTCGTTCAGCTGCAGTGTCAGTTTATTTTGAGTATCGTACACTCCATAGAGTCTCTTAGACCAACTCGGAGGTATTTTATTCTTATACCTTAATGAGCTATACAGGGCAAATATCCTTTGTAAATCCAGGACCAGGCAGCTACAGTTGTATACGATGACGCCAAGTTCCTTCATCTGTGAAATTAAAAGTTGGATCATTAGTGATATTTTCACTGATGGATCTGTGGAAGTATGCAGCAAGAACACAAAAACCTCACCTCGGGTACCCCAGCTTTCTGGGTGTCAGTTTCTTCACATGTTAAAAGGAAGATAATGATACCTTTCTCTCACAGAGAGTACTCTGTAAGCATAACAAGCATCAACATTCTCACATATAAATTATGAGGAAAAATAGTTCAAGTAAATACAGACAACAGAGTACAATTAAATTCTTTAGCCTTCAACAGGCACAATCCCACTTCTCATTTAGGTGAAGGCATGTCTTCTGAATCATAAATCTTGTCTTGGCAGAGATTTCATTAATTTTACACCCCTAGTAGCTAAATTGTTGACAGAATTTCATGCTAAATGTATTGTCTGGCTTTTGTAATCAAAGTGTAACCACATGTTCACTCTCTCCCCTTCCTTTGCTTTAGAACAGCTCAAGAAAGGACTGGTGTGGGTCTGGATGCTATTGACCTCTCACTACCTGTATTTAATAATAGTTCAGCCATCTTCTAAAACAAAGGAAGAAGAAAATCTGCATGTATCTGTTGGAAAACCATTTGTATAATAAATATTTAAAGGATCCATGCTGTTTTTTTGCAGGCAAACTCTCTGCAAAGTCTGCCTGGCATGATGAAGAAAACAAGGGTGATATGAACTCTCCAGCATGCTTACCCTTTCACTCCAAAATATTCCCACTGATGTTATTCCCTTAGATGAGATCTCCAGAGTTACACAGACTAGTTTCTGGTAAAAGCGTCTTTCTGTAAAGCCTGTGGGAACTCTGAACCCCGCACTGATGATATCTCAGAGCTTGTTCCAGTGCAATTCTTCTCCCTGACTGCAGATGAGAATCACTCTGCAGGAGCGGGCAGAGAGAAAGCGAAGGATAGAACTGAACCTTGACTCTCTGTGTGGTGGGTGAACACAATACTCCAGTGAGAAGGAAATTCTATGGGTGACACATTCTTCATGTCCCCGACCTGGAAATACCACATCCCTAAGAATACACAACACTGAGGTATCTCGTTCCTAAATATTTGCCAAATAGTTGTAACCACAGGAAGAAGACCCAATATTATTGCTACTTAAATCAGAATATTCTGCAAGCTTCTTTGATCTGTTAACCTGCACAACCTGAAATTTGCAGAGAATTGAAAAAAACAGACATACTGCACTGCAGCCTTTCATTTCTGGATAAGCCAGTAAATTAATTTTTATGCTAAATATAAATATGACCAACATCCTAGCTGAAAAATCTATTTGGAATAACTTCTTTAATTTTTCCCCTGGGTGCTGGTATCTTCGAGGATGCTCCTGTATTCAGCTCTAGGCTGTCCCCATAGTCTGGGCACTATTTGTCTCCAAATATTTTTAACTATACATTAGCACTGTTTTCACTGTGTGCTGCCAATACAGCTCTCTTAATTGCCAGGCATGCCATTGCAGAGGACTTGCTAATAGTACTCTGTTACATCTATCTGCATAATGTGGTTTAATCGGCTTTTCATGGCTGTTAGTTGATTCTGACATAATTATGTGGTTACAGTTTTCCTTTCATTTATCAGTCCATTATTACCATTCCACTTTATCCATTCTATTAAAAGTAAAGATGAAAGGGTCCTCAATGCACACCAGAAGCTGCCAGGATTGCATCTGCACGAGCAACTCTCCTCGCAACAGGAGCGCCTGCAGTGCGGCCCCTCCCCGAGAATTAAGAGACTGTCCTTCTGCCTAAGTGGTTCCTCTCGTAGAGATAGGGAGGAAGCCAGGGGCACTAATGGGTTTTGTTAAATGCCACTTTCACAGATCACCAGCCGGCCGGAGTGCCAAGCGAAGCATTAGGCACGCCTTAGCGCCAGCCTCTCCCCAGGAGCAGGAGCGCACGGGGGGCGCAGGGCCTGGCGCTCGCGGAGCCGCTCCCGCGGGAATGCCGGGCTGGGGCGCGGCCGCTCCGCCGCCCGCAGGGAACAGGCTCAGAGCGCGGGCTGCAATGGAGCTACTCAGAGATGTGGGTACAGCGCAGTAATGAACGCTGCCTTCCCAAGGTGTTGCGTCTTGCAGCTGGCTTCTCAAAGAACTGATCAAAGCTTTTCTTGTTTCTGAAGCTTTTCCCCACGGGGATTCCCTAATACATGATAGAGGGAGGGCTCCTCTCCCTCGCTGGGAAAACACAGATATTCTCTGCTGCCTGTTTTCATCAAGCTTTTATAAGCTTAGGTTCAAATTTAACTCAACCTGAACAGTAGATTCAAAGCTACAGGCAGAGGGCAGACAGCGACTCTGATGGTTGTTGCACAAACCAAATTTTCGTAAGGAACCGGTTTCGATGTCAGCCTGTCACTTTGTGACCCTCTCAGCTTAGGCGTGATACATCCCCTTGAAATGCAAACAATACATGTCTGTAGTAAAACCCCACCTGTCTCCTTTCTTGTGTAACAGCCCCGGTAAGTTTGGAGAAAAAAAAAAAAACCTGTTTCAGAAGCACCTTCTACACTGAGCGTAGTTTTACTCCCATACTCTGAGGTGAGGAGAAACTGCTCTTCTTCCTATTAATCATGAAACCTTATAATCCTGGAGGCATAGGGGGCAGCAGGAATCTGGTAGTGACAGATTTAGTATGAAGTGGTATGACATCTAGATAAGGAAAAAGACTTCCTCTTCTGTTTGAGAGCTGCTGTCATTACAGACTTTTCTTTTGTAGTCTCAGAGGAGAAGCAGAAAAAAAATCTATATTGTAAGAATCAAAATATGAGTGTTGCTTCCTGACTTGTCATCATGGAAACCTTCAGGTAAGCATCATTTGAGGTATCTGTTAAGGTAAAACCCTTCAGGGCAGGAGCTCTTCAGGCAAGGGAAGTATTTCTTCATCCTGCGTTTTAAGAGCAATTAATACAGTAATGAAAATGTCACTAAAAATTAAAGTGAAGAAGATCTCAAAAAATCAAAAGCTTAATGAAACTAAGGAAGATAAATGTGAAATGAAAATATGGAGTAATAAATTGATTACCTCAAAATGGAACAAAAGTTTTTGGAAGATAAAGTTTTACAGTTGCTTGTGAGTAACATTTGCAGGGCATGTGCCAGGGACTGGGGAAAGGAATGGTTATCTACACAGAGAATTTTGTGTCCTCTCTTAAGCAGGTTTCTTCTCCTCTTTGTTAAGAATTACCATGCATGCTCCAATCACAGAATGAAAAATATGGGAGCTGGTTTTCCTTGTTTTTCCCCATGCCATTTACATTTGTGTAGAGCAGCTATTAAAGACTACCAGACTGTTTGACTTCCTTGCCAATAAGGGCTTTCTTAAAGCACCAGAAGAGTGAATAATCATACCTGGATTAAGAAATGTAGTTTCCTCCCACTGTACAATGATACTCTAACTACAGAACTCAGTTAAGCTATGAAAAGCAATAAATATGGCTTAGATAGAAAAATAGTAATTTTTATGACAAGAGGAGGAATTCCTTGCTAAATTGGACAAAAACCAGCATTTCACAAACAGGAATTCTTACTTATTCTTTTTTCATGTGCATTCATAGGCATCCTCTGCAAAAGGAAGAAAAAACATGGGAGAAGAACCTGAACAATGCAGGCTGTGAACACAGAGCACTGTAAGATTCCTACCCTGAGAAACAGAGTGAGCAGGACTTTTTTGGTCCGTTTGGGTCACGGGCAAGAGAGGGTGTTCGATGTGTCCTTACCCTGCCCTGTGCAGACGAGACAGCTCATTTTATATTTACCTTGAGCTACACTCTGAGAGACAACCCCGCTGTGTAGGCAAGGTACTATTTGACCTACATAAGAGTGACACAATCTGGTTCACAGCTTGCAATATCTGAGTTGTGGCAAATGTAGCAGGAAGCTTTAGAAAACCCCTTGCTTAAAGAAAAAGTTTTTAGCAGTTGTTCACACCCAAACCTGATCCTGGAAACAACAGGCAGCTCTCCTCAGGCAGGAATTGCCACTTGCCCAAAAGCTCTGGCCACTGGCAGACGCCAGGAATCCATTGCCTGTGCTACAGAAACTCTGGATTAACTACAGGGAGCCTATTGCACACAAAATTTACTAAAGTAGACTTTTGGTATACGGGATAGTGTATGCATCTGTCATTTGCCTGTGTTTGAAAATGTATTTAATTGTACATTTGAGCCTCTGATTTTTTTAAAATGACCAGTTTCTAAATAAATGACTGACCAAAGCCAGAATCACAACAGGGTAAACTAATGGAATAACAAAAAGCACTCCATACTGGTAAATCAATTACTAAAGCCTACGATTTCAATAGCTTCTAAAGGAAAGTAATATACAATATATTCATTGTCAGTTTAAGACAAATCACAGATATTTACGCTAATCTTTTTATAAAATATCCTCTAATTATCCAGTTACCCAGCACTCCAAACACACTTTCTTTTTCATTATCAGGCTTACCTGATCCTTACTGCAGACCTCCTTTATGTTTTCATGTGTTATCCTTTAATACTGAGTGAATATTCCCCAGTCATACATAGCACACTGAAGGCTGCCTCTGTGCAGTTATTCTTTATCTCTCTTTACCAACATATACCAATATATCTGCTGAGCAGATATGCATGCCCATCCCATGCCAGGCACAGGTGACAGCCCAGGGGTGGTCTCTGGTAGCAGTGCAGGAGGAGAAGGGCATTCTGGTGGGGATGACCATCAACAGAGAGAGTCAGAGATTTGAGAAAGGTAAGAAGTGTTTCTCTGTGCAGAGTTGTTTGCTGTGACTGCTGTAGCACACTTTGCTGGAGGAGGCTGACAGGAGCAGTGCTCATCACAAATGCACCCGGTGTAACGACCCCATTCAGGCAGACCTCGTTTTGATGTAAACCAAACGTGGAACCTGATGCTGAACATGCTGAGAAGACTGTAGCACTGCTTGGCACCTCTCTCACAAAACCTCTGCAGGAATTACCTCCCCCACAACAGCAAAAGGATGTGCC